AATGCTGAATTTTTCATCTTCAAAGTTGTTGTTGTTGTTGTCATGTGTCATGGAGTCGGTTCTGACTAATAGCGACCCTGTACAGGGTTTCCGAGGCTGTAAATCTTTATGGGAGCAGAACACCTCATCTTTCTCTTGCGGAACAGCTGGTAGTTTCAAACTGCTGACCTTAAGGTTCACAGCCCGATTCATAACCACTACGCTACCAGAGCTCCTTATCTTCAAAGTAGGGACTACAATTATAAGGTTGTGTTAAGGGTTAACAGGTAGGGGTCTTAGTTATCTAGTGCTTCTATAACAGAAATACCACAAATGGCAAATAAATATATTTTTTCACAGTTGAGGCGGCTAGAAGTTTGAATTCAGAGCACCAGGTTGGGAAAAAAGGTCCTTGACTTTGTTCAGCATCTGTAGGCTCAGCATTGCTGGGCGTTCTCCATGTGTCTTGGCATCAATCTTCCCCCTGGATCTAGAAGCTTCACAGTACAGGGACCCAGGTTCAAAGAATGCACTCCAGTCATGGCTCTCCTTTCTTGGTGATAGTAAGCCTCCTTCTGCTCACTCCTCTCTCCTTTATCTCTTGTAAGATAAAGGATGTTGCAGGTCACACCACTGAGAAACTCCCTTACAGGGATTAGGGTTTCAGTGGAACTAATAAATGCTCTTATTAGTTTATCACATCAGATCACATCATGTTGTTGTTGTTGTTGTTAAGTGCTGTCGAGTCGGTTCCGACCCATAGCGACCCTGTACAGGGTTTCCAAGGGTGTAAATCCTTACGGGAGTAGAAAGCCTCATCTTTCTCCCGCGGAGCAGCTGGTAGTTTCGAACTGCTGACCTTATGGTTCGCAGCCCGATTCGTAACCACTACGCTACTAGAGCTCACATCATGAGGAATCAACAAATAACTGCTACGTTTTATCAACACACAACTGCCAAACCACAGAGAAACATGACCCACCAAACATGAGGAAGAGCACCAGAATGTTGTCATTCCACAGAGAGGTGACCCAATGGAATGTGGAAATCATCAGACAATATCATTAATATCACATGCAAGTAAAATTTTGCTAAAGATGAATAAAAAATGGCTGCAACCATACATTGACAGAGAACTTCTGGAGGTTCAAGCAGGATTCAGAAGAGGACAAGTAATAAGGGATATCATTGCTGACATCAAATGGATCTTGGCTGAAAGCAGAGAATACCCCAAATACCTGTGCTTTATTGACTACGCAAAGGTTTTCAATTGTGTGGATTGTGACAAGCTATGGATAACATTGCAGAAAATGAGTACTCCAGAGTACTTAAATGTGCTCATGAAGAACCTGTACAAAGCAGATGATACAACCTTGCTTACTGAAAATGAAGAGGACTTAAAAATACTTGCTGATGAAGCTCAAAGACCACAACTTTTGGTATGGGTTGTACCTCAATATAAAGAACACAAAAATACTCACTACTGGACTAAAAAATAACATCCATATGAATGGAGAAAAGATTGCAGTTGTCAAAGACTTCATTTTGCCTCGGTGAACCATCAACATTCATGGAAGCAGCAGCCAAGAAATCAAGCTATATATTGGAATAGGCAAATCTGCTATACAAGACCTCTTTTAAGTGTTCAAGAGCAAAGATGTCAGCTTGAGGACTAAGGTACGCCTGACCCAAGCCATGGTATTTCCAATAACCTCATATGCATGTGGAAATTGGGCAGTGAATAAGGAAGACTGTAGAAGAACTGATGCATTTGAGCCATGGTGTTAGAGGAGAATGTTTAAAGTGCCATGGGTTGCCAAAAGAACAAACTAATCTGTATTAGAAGAAGTGCAGCCAGAATGCTCCTTGGAGGTCAGGATGACCAGACTTTGTCTCTCATACTTCATACTTATGATCAGGAGGACCAGTCTCAGGAGAAGGATATCATGTTTGGTAAAGTGAAGGGTAGGAGAAAAAGAGGAAGACCCCCAATGAGATGGATTGGCACATTGGCAGCAGCAATTGGCTGAAACATAGCAATGATTGTGAGGTTGGCGTAGGACCGAGCAGTATTTTGTTATGTTGTGCATAGGGTAGCTATGAGTCTGTACTAACTTGATGGCACTTAACAACAACAACAACTTCGTATATAGAAAAAGCAAGGATTGTTCTGTTGTGCCATTTGGCTAGTTCTCAGTCAGGCCCAAACCAGTGGGTAGGTATCTTTATTTCATACCAGCTTTTGTGTGTGTGTGTGTCTGTTCTCAACAGAAATCCTAGATGATGGCATAATCTTAAAGCTGACAATGATCTTGCCTCTACAACTCTGCTCCTCCTGTAAGGGTGGACACTGCTTCTAGGTTGGGCACTGAAAAGTGTGGTTTGGATTCTGCTTTCTTAGCTATTACATTTGCTCCATGGGCCATATTTGCCCCACTTATTGAGAAGAAGGGTATAAGGAAAATAACAGAAGTGTAGCAAGAAAACAAAATCCTCACAGCTGGCCCAATAAATGACATCAAGATAAATAAAGAAAAGACTGAAGTTGTCAAAGACTTCATTTTTCTCGGATCAACTTCAGCATTCAGGGTAGCGGTGGTTATGTGCTGTGGAGTCAGTTCTGACTCATAGTGACCCTTACAGGGTTCTGAGGCTATAAATCTTTACGGGAACAGAAAGCCTCATCTTTCTCCCGTGGAACTGCTGGTAGTTTTGAACTGCTGACCTTGAGATTAGCAACCCGACTCAAAACCACTAAGCTACCAGAGCTCCTTATACATGTACTGTTATTGTTGTGAAGTAACATTGAGTCAGTTTCAACTCATAGCGACCCTGTATAGGATTTCTGAGAAGCGGTTGATGTGCTTGAACTACCAACCTTGTGTTTCAAACTGGTCTTTCATTCCAGCATATTAACCCACAGCCTCACAACAGGACTCCATACTCAAGGAGTTAGTAACTCTAAATACCAACAGAGAGGGAAGGAGTCTTCATATCAAGTATCAATGCTATCCCCTCTGTACACAGGGTAGATAGGGACGGGCAACTCAGACATTGGCTACCTAAAATGAGGGGGTGATAAAGGCACCAAGTGACTGGCTTACAAAGTTTCAAGAGGGAGTTTAGTTTAAGAGTGTGGGGGGAAAGAAAGAGTCCCCACTGAATAGCTGTCATCTTGTC